GATATTTGAAAAAATCTCGATCGTAACGCTTTCTTCTTTTGTGTTTTTTCATTTTCTTCCGTCTAATCGTTAAAAGACGTGGTGCAAGTTGGATGGCTACTGGAGTGACAGCGGGAGGAGCCTCCAAAGGAGCCTTAATTATTATCATCAGTCTCAAATCCTTTTAAAGTAATACGTACGAGGAACTAACTTTCTCCGGTAAAGGGTCCATTTTTTCAATAAGGTCTTGGAGAAATGGGGCAGGCGCATACACTGGCGCCTTATTCAATGTTGGAAATGTGTAGACCTACAGATTGCGCCATATTGTTAAATGAAACCGAGAACAAGAAGAAAACGACTTACTCTTCGAACATTTTCTAATGCAGGAAGTTCATAAGAGATATGTGGACTACGAGTTACAGTGTTTGAACTCTTAGTTGAATCTTAAAGAAGAAATTGAAATGACCACCAAAAAATGACAAATGACACCTACCAAGAATTGGGGTCATCCTTTCTCTTCGTACTAAAGGTATGTACAAGCCTGAGGATGATGGAGTATGCAAACCTTTGAAAAATCCAGATTGCATAGAGTGAAATGAAACAAAATCAAACGAAAAAATCCCGAAATTAAAAAAGCGTAGGAACTCACTGTGCACTCCTCGAGATAAGCAGATCCTGGAGAAGTTCTGAGTGATTAGCGCAACCGATCTGCTCATTGCCTGCCCAGATGTTAAGATTATCAAAAAGTAAAGAAGAAAACGAGAAAGAGATGAAGCGCTCGAAAAGAAAAACGCGTCTTCTTGAATCTAAACCGTTGTATGCACAGTTTGAAAATTTCTTTAAACGCATGGCCAAGCTCCATATGATTATTTCAGTTAAATGAAGAAGCCTAATTATATGCACGACAAGAAGGTGCGATGGGCGCAATGCACACATCGGTCGGTACTCACCGTATGGTGAGCACGCGGAAGGCGACAAAACACGAAAAATGCCCGCAATTTTGAAGACCTTTCATTTTCTCCTTCGTATTTGTTTTTAATCTCTTCTGATTTCGCTTAGGTAAAGAGCGCCGCTGCAGCAGAGCAAGAAATGATGTTTTCTACAAGCATTTTTACTTTGTTCATTTGCCCTACATCCACTTTCGTGGTCTTGTTGATATCGAAACGTGCTTTTAGGGGCATTGTGGAGTTACTGAAAATAGAAATTGTTTTAG